TACTAAGCTAGTAAAGTTTGGTCACCTTGACGACGACCAGAACATAACATTTAATAACTCACCGGAAACGCGATATTGATAAACAAAAATGCTAAAGTCGTTGTGATGCTGTATATGTTTCATTTCCTTTTCATCATCAATGATTCACACACACGCTGATCAGGGTAATAAATAATGTAGCATCCTTCTGCCTTTCCGTTTCGTTGTTTGTCGACTAATCACTGCTGTAGAGTAATATAATCACATCCGCCTTGTTAAACAGCACTGTTCCCGTCTGGTCTTCACCCAGACAACACCATTACCGGGGAATCTGCCTTTCTGTTAAAGGATGAGGTGGTTTTTTTTTACGGTAGTAGCAAAATCATCGGTTTTTACAATCAAACTAGAGTGGAGAGACATTCAGTGTCCAAAAATGTGCTCTATATGTGTAACGTAGATAGATCTATAGAACAAACCAACTGTTCACTCATTGTACATATGTGACTACGATGTATAGAACAAACCAACTGTTCACTCATTGTACATATGTGACTACGATGTATAGAACAAACCAACTGTTCACTCATTGTACATATGTGACTACGATGTATAGAACAAACCAACTGTTCACTCATTGTACATATGTGACTACGATGTATAGAACAAACCAACTGTTCACTCATTGTACATATGTGACTACGATGTATAGAACAAACCAACTGTTCACTCATTGTACATATGTGACTACGATGTATAGAACAAACCAACTGTTCACTCATTGTACATATGTGACTACGATGTATAGAACAAACCAACTGTTCACTCATTGTACATATGTGACTACGATGTATAGAACAAACCAACTGTTCACTCATTGTACATATGTGACTACGATGTATAGAACAAACCAACTGTTCACTCATTGTACATATGTGACTACGATGTATAGAACAAACCAACTGTTCACTCATTGTACATATGTGACTACGATGTATAGAACAAACCAACTGTTCACTCATTGTACATATGTGACTACGATGTATAGAACAAACCAACTGTTCACTCATTGTACATATGTGACTACGATGTATAGAACAAACCAACTGTTCACTCATTGTACATATGTGACTACGATGTATAGAACAAACCAACTGTTCACTCATTGTACATATGTGACTACGATGTATAAAACAAACCAACAGTTCACTCATTGTACATATGTGACTACGATGTATAGAACAAACCAACTGTTCACCCATTGTACATATGTGACTACGATGTATAGAACAAACCAACTGTTCACTCATTGTACATATTTGATTACGATATATAGAACAAACCAACAGTTCACTCATTGTACATATATGACTACGATGTATAGAACAAACCAACTGTTCACTCATTGTACATATGTGACTACGATGTATAGAACAAACCAACTGTTCACTCATTGTACATATGTGACTACGATGTATAGAACAAACCAACTGTTCACTCATTGTACATATGTGACTACGATGTATAGAACAAACCAACTGTTCACTCATTGTACATATGTGACTACGATGTATAGAACAAACCAACTGTTCACTCATTGTACATATGTGACTACGATGTATAGAACAAACCAACTGTTCACTCATTGTACATATGTGACTACGATGTATAGAACAAACCAACTGTTCACTCATTGTACATATGTGACTACGATGTATAGAACAAACCAACTGTTCACTCATTGTACATATGTGACTACGATGTATAGAACAAACCAACTGTTCACTCATTGTACATATGTGACTACGATGTATAGAACAAACCAACTGTTCACTCATTGTACATATGTGACTACGATGTATAGAACAAACCAACTGTTCACTCATTGTACATATGTGACTACGATGTATAGAACAAACCAACTGTTCACTCATTGTACATATGTGACTACGATGTATAGAACAAACCAACTGTTCACTCATTGTACATATGTGACTACGATGTATAGAACAAACCAACTGTTCACTCATTGTACATATGTGACTACGATGTATAGAACAAACCAACTGTTCACTCATTGTACATATGTGACTACGATGTATAGAACAAACCAACTGTTCACTCATTGTACATATGTGACTACGATGTATAGAACAAACCAACTGTTCACTCATTGTACATATGTGACTACGATGTATAGAACAAACCAACTGTTCACTCATTGTACATATGTGACTACGATGTATAGAACAAACCAACTGTTCACTCATTGTACATATGTGACTACGATGTATAGAACAAACCAACTGTTCACTCATTGTACATATGCGACTACGATGTATAAAACAAACCAACAGTTCACTCATTGTACATATTTGACAACGATGTATAGAACAAACCAACTGTTCACTCATTGTACATATGTGACTACGATGTATTGAACACACATTTGTATCGTTATGAAACTGCTTTATCTACAAAGAAAATTATGTAAGACATTTTATTGATGTAAAATATGTTCGTGTATATTTTTGAGACAGTCTGCTACGTGTGTAATCCAGGACTGAATATGGTTGTGATATTGTTTTGTTTTTTTAGACATATCTTTCTAAGATTCATTTGATTCATGTTGACATTGTTTACCTGTGTAAGGCATGTTTTGTATGGTTGTGAGGTTGTTTACCTGTGTAAAACATGTGTCTGTATGGTTGTGACATTGTTTACCTGTGTAAGTCATGTGTCTATTTAGACATATCTTTCTAAGATTTATGTGTATCATGGTGACATTTTTACCTGTATAAGACGTGTTTTTATATGGTTGTGATCTTGATTACCTGTGTAAGTCATGTGTCTGTATGGTTGTGACATTTTCACCTGTATAAGACATGTTTTTATATGGTTGTGACCTTGATTACCAGTATAAGACATGTTTTTATATGGTTGTGACCTTGATTACCTGTGTAAGTCATGTGTCTGTATGGTTGTGACATTGTTTACCTGTGCAAGTCATGTGTCTGTATGGTTGTGACATTGTTTACCTGTGTAAGTCATGTGTCTGTATGGTTGTGACATTGTTTCCCTGTGTAAGTCATGTGTCTGTATGGTTGTGACATTGTTTACCTGTGTAGGACATGTGTCTATATGGTTGTGACATTGTTTACCTGTGTACGTCATGTGTCTGTATGGTTTTGACATTGTTTACCTGTGTAGGACATGTGTCTGTATGGTTGTGACATTGTTTACCTGTGTAAGTCATGTGTCTGTATGGTTGTGGCATTGTTTACCTGTATAAGACATGTGTCTGTATGGTTGTGACATTGCTTATCTGTTTAAGTCATGTGTATGTATGGTTGTGACATTGTTTACCTATGTAAGTCATGTGTCTGTATGGTTGTGCCATTGTTTACCTGTGTAAGTCATGTGTCTGTATGGTTGTGATATGTTTACCTGTATAAGACATGTTTTTATATTGTTGTTACCTTGATTACCCGTATAAGACATGTTTTTATATGGTTGTGACCTTGATTACCTGTGTAAGTCATGTGTCTATATGGTTTTGACATTGTTTATCTGTGTAAGTCATGTGTCTGTATGGTTGTGACATTGTTTACCTGTGTAAGACATGTGTCTGTATGGTTGTGATATTGTTTACCTGTGTAAGTCATGTGTCTGTATGGTTGTCACATTGTTTACCTGTGTAGGACATGTGTATGTAAGGTTTTGACATTGTTTACCTGTGTAAGACATGTGTATGTAAGGTTTTGACATTGTTTACCTGTGTAAGACATGTGTCTGTGTGGTTGTGATATTGTTTACCTGTGTAAGTCATGGGTCTGTATGGTTGTGACATTGTTTACCTGAGTAAGACCTGTTGTTATATTGTTGTGACATTGGCTACCTGTGTAAGACATGTTTTCCATGGTTGCGACATTGTATTCCTGTGTAAGACCTCTTGTTATATTGTTGCGACATTGTTTACCTGTGTAAGACATGTTTTCCATGGTTGCGACATTGTTTACCTGTGTAAGACCTCTTGTTATATTGTTGCGACATTGTTTACCTGTGTAAGACATGTTTTCCATGGTTGCGACATTGTATACCTGTGTAAGACCTGTTGTTATATTGTTGCGACATTGTTTACCTGTGTAAGACCTCTTGTTATATTGTTGCGACATTGTTTACCTGTGTAAGACCTCTTGTTATATTGTTGCGACATTGTTTACCTGTGTAAGACCTCTTGTTATATTGTTGCGACATTGTTTACCTGTGTAAGACATGTTTTCCATGGTTGCGACATTGTATTCCTGTGTAAGACCTCTTGTTATATTGTTGCGACATTGTTTACCTGTGTAAGACCTCTTGTTATATTGTTGCGACATTGTTTACCTGTGTAAGACCTGTTGTTATATTGTTGCGACATTGTTTACCTGTGTAAGACATGTTTTCCATGGTTGCGACATTGTATTCCTGTGTAGACCTGTTGTTATATTGTTGCGACATTGTTTACCTGTGTAAGACATGTGTCTGTATGGTTGTGACATTGTTTACCTGTGTAAGACCTGTTGTTATATTGTTGTGACATTGGCTACCTGTGTAAGACATGTTTTCCATGGTTGCGACATTGTATACCTGTGTAAGACCTGTTGTTATATTGTTGCGACATTGAATACCTGTGTAAGACATGTTTTCTATGGTTGCGACATTGTTTACCTGTGTAAGACCTGTTGTTATATTGTTGCGACATTGTTTACCTGTGTAAGACATGTTTTCCATGGTTGTGACATTGTTAACCTGTGTAAGTCATGTGTCTGTATGATTGTGACATTGTTTACCTGTGTAAGTCATGTGTCTGTATGGTTGTGACATTGTTTACCTTTGTAAGTCATATGTCTGTATGGTTGTGAGATTGTTTACCTGTGTAAGACATGTTTTCCATGGTTGTGACATTGTTCACCTGTGTCAGACGTTTTTTATCGTCGTTGCATTGTGAAATCATTCCTAACATATATTTGTTATTATTGTAGGCGTACTGACGTGCACTCGGGGCCACGCCTGACGATGTTGGAAAGTGTCGACAGACTAATGCCGGAATTAGAAGCTGACTTCCTGCACAAAATCACACCCGAGGAATTCTGGGAAATCTATCAGGACTTGAAACAAAGGGATTACCTATCCATATGAATCATGAAGACTTAATGTGTGATAACGAAGACTTAATAGTATATATACGCTAATTGGTGCTCCTTTACCGGCGTCATGCCATGTGGAATTTACCGTAGATACATTGTATAACATATCACTTTAGGTATCACTACGTTATATCAACATGCCCTACCCTTAAATATCAACATGCCCTACCCTTAAATATCAACATGCCCTACCCTTAAGTATCAACATGCCCTACCCTTAAATATCAACATGCCCTACCCTTAAATATCAACATGCCCTACCCTTAAATATCAACATGCCCTACCCTTAAGTATCACTACGTTATATCAGCATGCCCTACCCTTAAGTATCACTTAGAACAACAACGCAATAATCAAACATCAACATCATCAACAACGATTTCTTGCTAACTTCAGAATCTCCGGAGTAAATGTCTTAAATGCTTTAGAACGAGAGAAAAAACTGTACACATACGGAGGTTGTCATTCTAAGTTATGTGTACGAATACAAAGATCGATGATATAGTGACATATCGGAGATAAAGCGACATCACATTAGTTCAGCATTGCTGTTCACCTTTCTATAATATACCGGATGCGTGTGACGATAGTAATAACATGATGTCCCCTATGACCGTGTTAAGACTAGGTAGGAGTTCCTTTTAGACATGACGTCATTGTGTGATGATTACCCTGCTTATGTTATGACGTCATTTAAAGGGTGTTTTCAAATAGTGTGTACGATTACCTCGTTTTTCATGTGACGTCGATGCATGCGATTTTTTTGTATGATTATCGTATTTATCCTTTGACATAGTAAGATACGATTTTATTGTGTCTTTTATCCGATAACGTCATACATTTACGATACGACTTTATTGTGTATATTTACCTGTTTATAATATGACGTTATTAGATAAATACTTCATTGTGTTTTTTCATCTGATGACGTCATTAGATACGATTTTCTTCTGTATGTTTACTCTTTTTATCCAGTGACGTCATTTGATAATATCTTATTGTGTCTTTTAATCTAATAACGTCATAAGATACGATTTTATTACTTTGTTTATCAAATGACGTCATTAGATCATAACTTATTGTGTCCTTTTATCTTATAACGTCATCAGATACGACGATTTTATTGTGTATGTTTACTTTGTTTATCCAGTGATGTTATGAGCTAGCATTGTATTGAGACGGGGTAACGTATCGCCGACCGTGTCTACTGTATGCCTGACTTAGACCCCTTTGTTTAGTCATTAATGACGTGTTGTGTCGTGTTGGTCGTTTCGCTTTAGTTAATGTTAACCTTGCACTGCTATGTTTGTAAATCAGAAGTACCATACATTTAATCCTATGAACGCTTTTAATTTTATAAATCTGTTCAGAATAGAAGCATGTTCTGTTTTTTCATTGAATATTTACTCGTGAGGCGGAATACAATAGCGTCATTCCTCCTGTTATACTCCTAACCGATCGGATAAATAAACATTAAGTATAAATATTGCGTCACCATCCATATGTATGGTGCTATATCTCCTTAAACAATCACACGTTGAATACAACCACTTTGTCTAATGTCAGAAGAAATCCAGTTATTGTATTAACAGTTGTATTAGTTGTAAATTGGTAAGAGATTATAGTTATAGTTATGTTACATGTTTAATGTAGGAAGCCTCCCAAAGGTTGAGTCCATAGTCATACGAACGCCAGTGGTGTTACCGCATGTACGTCATTTGGTCACGACGCCATTTTTACAACTGCCAATGTGACGCTTGGAACCTCGCTTTAAATAACACAATGAGTAGCATTGAATCAATCACTCAGATGACAAAGAATGTTGGAGTGCTGTTCAATCAATATTGTTTCATTGAACACACACACAAAAAAACACATCCATAATCAGAACAAAATCCTTCAACTAAATTACCCATTGGTAAATCATATTTACGTTCAAACTTGTATGATATATGCAATACAGTGCCGTGCACGCCTTTTGTAAGGACTTACCATGGATATATAGTACATGTACTAAAGTTATACGAACGACATCAATGTTGATTTAAATTTCCAAACGCTGGGAAAATTATCATCATAATAATTTGTGGGAAGCCCTGATAAAAAGAATGAGGCCCTAGCATACTGTCAGGAACATTTTGTGTACAAATCGAAGTTAGTTAGTTGGACATCTGGCTTACATCTTAATTTAATATTTAATGAAAGTACTTGCGAATATGCAGTAGTAAACGTAGCAATTTAACAGTTAATGTTCATCAGGTTGAATATGACGGGAAAAGTCCATTACCACTTTTACTATTTTGGAAGTAGCGAAATTGACATTTAGACAGTCTACATAGTTGGTAAAATAATCTCTAGAAATACAAAGTATGGAAATATCTGTTGGAGTCGATGCAACAAGCCAAACAGAGTAAACAACGGCAGCACCATATATGGTCATATCGTTTACAACTCATTACTGGTGTAAAATCTAATGTGCTCCCAAACATTAAAAGGAATACAGCAAAAAGGCCCTGTGCCTATAAAACTCCTAAATAACGTTTCCAATGTGCAACCTTTGGCTACAACAGCTAATACTTTTTTAGAACTGGGACTTCATGGGAACCATTTCAGAACAAATTTCATCACCAAGTTCACGCTCACCCTCGAAGACGGACAGTCTGCCAGCCGAGTCAACCACATAGTCACATAAAAAAAGTCTGCTAGCCGAGTCAACCACATAGTCACGCAAAAAAAAGTCAACAGAAATATAAAGTAATGAATCGTCTTTTTGAAAATTAAGTCGTTGCTACAATGTCAGAGCCAAACAAAGTAAATCGTTACTCCACCACGTGGTAATGTCGTCCATTTTGTACTCCTTGGTGATGCTTATGATTTTTAAAAAATATGAAAACCCTTGTCTTTAGAAATACAGCGGAACAGTGCCTATAAAACACCAGTAGGACGTTACCAAATTACAATGTTGGCTACAACATATACCAATAGGTTTCAACGACATTTCATGTCAATCTTTCCAGAATAAATTGTTATCGAGCTTGGGAATAGAGTTGGGTACATCTGTATATGTAGTGATATACTGATATCTAGCTGAGGAACAACAGTTATAATGTCATATACTGATATCTAGCTGAGGAACAACAGTAATGGTGTGATATACTGATATGATATCTAGCTGAGGGACAACAGTTATAATGTCATATACTGATATCTAGCTGAGGAACAACAGTAATGGTGTGATATACTGATATCTGGCTGAGGAACAACAGTAATGGTGTGATATACTGATATGATATCTAGCTGAGGGACAACAGTTATAATGTCATATACTGATATCTAGCTGAGGAACAACAGTAATGTTGTGATATACTGATATCTAGCTGAGGAACAACAGTTATAATGTGATATACTGATATCTAGCTGAGGAACAACAGTAATGGTGGTATATACTGATATCTAGCTGAGGAACAACAGTAATGGTGTGATATACTGATATGATATCAAATGATCAACGACAGTAATGGTGAGATATACTGATATCTAGCCGAGGAACAACAGTAATGGTGTGATATACTGATATCTAGCTGAGGGACAACAGTAATGGTGTGATATACTGATATCAAATGATCAACGACAGTAATGGTGAGATATACTGATATCTAGCCGAGGAACAACAGTAATGGTGTGATATACTCATATCTAGCTGAGGATCAACAGTAATGATGTGATATACTGATATCTAGCTGAGGGACAACAGTAATGGTGTGATATACTGATATCTAGCCGGGGAACAACAGTAATGGTGTGATATACTGATATCAAGCTGAGGATCAACAGTTATAATGTGACATACTGATATCTAGCTGAGGGACAACAGTTATAATGTGATATACTGATATCTAGCTGAGGAATAACAGTAATGGTGTGACATACTGATATCTAGCTGAGGAACAACAGTAATGGTGTCATATACTGATATCTAGCTGAGGATCAACAGTTATAATGTGACATACTGATATCTAGCTGAGGGACAACAGTTATAATGTGATATACTGATATCTAGCTGAGGAATAACAGTAATGGTGTGACATACTGATATCTAGCTGAGGAACAACAGTAATGGTGTGATATACTGATATCTAGCCGAGAAACAACAGTAATGGTGTGATATACTGATATCTAGCTGAGGGACAACAGTAATGGTGTGATATACTGATATCTAGCTGAGGAACAGTTATAATGTGACATACTGATATATAGCTGAGGAACAACAGTAATGGTGTGATATACTGATATCTAGCTGAGGGACAACAGTAATGGTGTGATATACTGATATCTAGCTGAGGGACAACAGTAATGGTGTGATATAATGATATCAAATGATCAACGACAGTAATGGTGAGATATACTGATATCTAGCCGAGGAACAACAGTAATGGTGTGATATACTGTTATCTAGCCGAGGAACAACAGTTATAATGTGATATACTGATATCTAGCTGAGAAACAACAGTTATGGTGTGATATACTGATATCTAGCTGAGGAACAGTTATAATGTGACATACTGATATATAGCTGAGGAACAACAGTAATGGTGTGATATACTGAAATCTAGCCGAGGAACAACAGTAATGGTGTGATATACTGATATCAAGCTGAGGATCAACAGTTATAATGTGACATACTGATATATAGCTGAGGAACAACAGTAATGGTGTGATATACTGAAATCTAGCCGAGGAACAACAGTAATGGTGTGATATACTGATATCTAGCTGAGAACCAATAGTTATAATGTGATATACTGATATCTAGCCGAGAAACAACAGTTATGGTGTGATATACTGATATCAGTAATGGTGTGATATACTGATATCTAGCCGAGAAACAATAGTTATAATGTGATATACTGATATCTAGCCGAGAAACAACAGTTATGGTGTGATATACTGATATCTAGCTGAGAAACAACAGTTATAGTGTGATATACTGATATCTAGCTGAGGGACAACAGCAATGGTGTGATATACTGATATCTAGCCGAGAAACAACAGTTATGGTGTGATATACTGATATCAAGCTGAGAAACAACGGTTATAATGTGATATACTGATATCTAGCCGAGGGACAACAGTAATGTAATGTGATATACTGATATCTAGCTGAGGAATAACAGTAATGGTGTGACATACTGATATCTAGCTGAGGAACAACAGTAATGGTGTGTTATACTGATATCTAGCCGAGGGACAACAGTAATGTAATGTGATATACTGATATCTAGCTGAGGAATAACAGTAATGGTGTGACATACTGATATCTAGCTGAGGAACAACAGTAATCGTGTGATATACTGATATCTAGCTGAGGGACAATAGTTATAATGTGATATACTGATATCTAGCCGAGAAACAACAGTAATGGTGTGATATACTGATATCTAACCGAGAAACAACAGTAATGGTGTGATATACTGATATCTAGCCGAGGGACAACAGCAATGGTGTGATATACTGATATCTAGCCGAGAAACAACAGTTATGGTGTGATATACTGATATCTAGCTGAGGAACAACAGTAACGGTGTGATATACTGATATCTAGCTGAGGGACAATAGTTATAATGTGATATCCTGATATCTAGCTGAGGAACAACAGTAATGGTGTGATATACTGAAATCTAGCCAAGGAACAACAGTAATGGTGTGATATACTGATATCAAGCTGAGGATCAACAGTTATAATGTGACATACTGATATCTAGCTGAGGGACAACAGTTATAATGTGATATACTGATATCTAGCTGAGGAACAATAGTAATGGTGTGATATACTGATATCTAGCCGAGAAACAATAGTTATAATGTGATATACTGATATCTAGCAGAGGAACAACAGTAATGGTGTGATATACTGATATCAAGCTGAGGATCAACAGTTATAATGTGACATACTGATATATAGCTGAGAAACAACAGTAATGGTGTGATATACTGATATCTAGCTGAGAACCAATAGTTATAATGTGATATACTGATATCTAGCTGAGGAATAACAGTAATGGTGTGACATACTGATATCTAGCTGAGGAACAACAGTAATCGTGTGATATACTGATATCTAGCTGAGGGACAATAGTTATAATGTGATATACTGATATCTAGCTGAGGAACAACAGTAATGGTGTGATATACTGATATCTAGCTGAGGGACAATAGTTATAATGTGATATACTGATATCTAGCTGAGGAACAACAGTAATGGTGTGATATACTGATATCTAGCCGAGGGACAACAGTAATGGTGTGATATACTGATATCTAGCTGAGAAACAATAGTTATAATGTGATATACTGATATCTAGCTGAGAAACAACAGT